GAGTTTTAGCATTAACATTAGCACCACTGTCAAGAAACATCTTAACAAATTGTTTATGTCCTTTTGTAACAGCAAGATGTAGTGGTGTAACACCTGGTGTAAATGTAGATATATATGTAAAATTAACATAAACTCCATGTTTTAAAAAATGTTCAAAAATTTATATATATTATTTCTCAGTTGCAATAAAAAGTTATACCTGTCTTATCACTGGCAGTAACGTTTGCTCCATAATTTAAAAGTAACTGTGCAATTTCCAATTCCTCATATTCAACCGCGTCGTGTAGCGGAGTGGTGGCGTACCGAGTTTTAGCATTAACATTAGCACCTCTGTCCAAAAGCATCTTAACACTATCTACATCTCCTCTGTGAAACGCAACCCAAAGTAATGTAGCATCTGAAAAAGAAGAAATACATGTACAATTAATGCCAAGTAAACTTCATGTTTTAAAACATGTTCAGCAATCTGTAAATATCTTTTCTCAGCTGCAATATAAAAAGGAAGTATACCGTTATCCTTACTGGCGTTAACGATACAGGTGTTAACGTTAGCTCCATGATTTAAAAGTAATTCAGCAATTTTTATTTCCTTATATTCAATAGCACTAGGAAGCAAAGTTGTGCCATTCCGAATTTTAGCATAAGCGTTAGCACATTTGTCAAAAAACGTGTTAACAAATTTTTTATGTCCTTTTTTAACAGCAAGGAGTAGTGGTGTAACACCTGGTGTAAAAGAATAGATATAAATAAAAGTAATATAAACTCCATGTTTTAAGATGTCCATCAATCTGTAAATATCCTTTTCAGCTGCAATAGAAAGTTATACCTGAGTTATCACTGCAATTAACGTTAGCTCCATGATTTAAAAGTAATTCAGCAATCTCCATTTTCTTATATTTAATCGCATAGTGAAGCGGAGTTGTGCCAGCCCGAGTTGCAGCATTAACGTTAGCACCTCTGCCAATAAGCATCTTAACAACATTTACACGTCCACTTCGAACAGCACAATACAGTGGTGTAAGACCTGACGTAAATGTAGATATATATGTAGAATTAATATAAACTCCATGTTTTAAAAAATGTTCACAAAAGTATAAGTATCTTTTCTCAGCTGCACTATAAAGTTATACCTAACTTATCAATGGCATTAACATTAGCTCCGTGATTTAAAAGTAATTCAGCAATTACTTTTTTCTTATATTTAACCGCAGCGTGGAGCGGAGTTGTGCCATCCCTAGTTTCAGCATTAACATTAGCACCTCTGTCTATAAGCATCTTAACACCATCTACATGTCTTTTTAGAATACTAACATACAGTGGTGTTTCACCTGGTGTAAATGTAGATAAATATGTAGAATTACTATAAATTCCATGTTGTAAACAATGTTCATCAATCTGTAAATATCCTTTCTCATCTGCATAATAGAGTTATACCTGACTCATCTGTAGCATTAACATTAGCTCCATAATTTAAAAGTAATTCAGCAATCTCCATTTGCTCATATTCAATCGCATCGTGAAGCGGAGTTGTGCAAAACCGAGTTTCAGCATTAACATTAGCACCTCTGTTTAGAAGCATCTTAACTCCATTTACATGTTGTACTCTAACAGCATGATACAGCGGTGTATAACCTGTAAAGAAAAAAATATATGTGAAATTAACTCTCCAATTAAACTCCATAGTTAAAAAACTGTTCATCAATTTGTAAATATCCTTTCTCAGCTGCAGAATAGAGTTATACCTAACTTATCACAAGCATTAACATTAGCTCCATGATTTAAAAGAAATTCAGCAATCTTTAGTTTTTTACATCTAACCGCATCATGAAGCAGAGTGCCATCCCGAGTTTCAGCGATAATGTTAGCATTTCTGTCCATGAGCATCTTAACAACATCTACATGTCCTTTTAGAACAGCAAGAAACAGTGGTGAAACCCCTGAAAAGGAAGAGATGTATGTAGAATTACGTCTCCAACTAAACTTAATGGTCAAAAAGATGTTCATCAAGCTGTAAATATCTCTTCTCATCTGCAATATAAAAGTATACCAAATCTATCACTGATATTAACATTAGCTCCATGATTTAAAAGAAATTCAGCACTTTCTGTTTCCTTATTTTCAATTGCATCATAAAGCAAAGTTCTGCCATACGAATCTTCAGTATTAATGTTAACACCTTTGTCCATAAACATCTTAACACCATCTACAAATCCTATGTGAACAGCGAGACACAGCGGTGTTACATCTGAAAAGGAAGAGATATATGTAGAATTAACTCTCCAAGTAAATTCCATGTTCTAAAAGATATTCATCAATCTCTAAATATCTTTTCTCAGTTGCAATATAAAGCCATACCTAACTCATCACTAGCATGAATAATAGCTCCATGATTTAAAAGCAAGTTAGCAATTTCTATGTTCTTATTTGCAATTGCATTGTGTAGAGGTGTTTTGCAATACCTATTTGAAGAATTAACGGCAGCATGTCTGTCTAGAAGCATCTTAACAATTTCTATGTCATCATTTATAACAGCAAGATGAAGTGGAGTATCATAATTGTTATTATCAAATTTGGCAGTGTTGCTGTTAACTTTAGAACCATTTGTTAAAAGTAGTTTAACAATTTCTGTATGCCTATTCTCAATAGCATCACAAAGTAAAACATATCCTCCTTTCCATGCTTGTGAATAAGATAGTCCAAAATAAGTAAGTATCTCCCTAGCTGTTTTTAAGTTTCCTTCACGAACTGCATTTATTAACGTGTAGCTTGGATCAATATAGTCCATGGTAAAAGTAGTGCTCAATTTGCATCCGTTTTTCTCTCAAATCTGTCTTCTATGTTGTTTCTCTGTTTAAGTTTTAGTTTTGGTTTTCCTATAATTATTTATATGTATTACAATCGTAAAATGTACATTAGTCAGGTATGTACCGAGAGCGGGATATGTAGCAAGAAAAGAAAATTTAAGATCAGCGTCCTCCGTTTTGGCTCTCTTAAGGGTCGTCTACAATGAAGAGTTTTAGACTGTAACAGTAAGAAACTGACAAATCACAATCAATTATTTTTCTGTACTTTGCCTGTGATTAGTCAATTTCTTACTATGACGGCCTACAACTCTCCATTGTAAACGGCTCTTTATAAATTCACGTGACCTATCTTATAGATGTTTCAGTACTGCCAAAGGTACATTCCAAAATCCTATCTTAGTTACTAAAATGATATATTTTACGTCACGTGTACTATAGTTTTTGGTTACCAGGGTAAGATTTTGGAACGTACCCAAGTAATAACAGAACATTATATGTTCACTTAAGCCAGTTCTACAATACAGTCGAAAACCGTAATTCGTACGAATATGACCAATCCCAATCGATTATTCTTCTGTAATTAGTCTGTGATTGGTCAATTTATTACAACTGAAAGTTTACCACAGTATTGTAGAACAAGCCTTAATGACGCAAAGCCGCTAGATAACAGTTACCACGGCATTAATTACGTTCAAAAAACTCAACGGTTGAAAGATCATCACTTATGATAAGACTATTCTTAAAAATCTATATCGGATCCAAAAGTATGATCCAATCAGAAGTGATTATCTCTCAACCGTTGTGCGACTCTTGAGTTGTCTGAACGCACCCATTTACATTTTATGGATAAGTTCCACTTGCCGTTCGCAATGCTCACGCTCACTCCACGAACTCGCATGTTCCACCTTCGAAACAGGACCTTATATATATATATATATATAAAGAAAATACATACATATATCTGTGATAAAAACACAGATTAATTCAAAAATTTCCAATCTAATTTTATTTTTCAACTTAATAAAAGCAATTCCACGTGTTACACTCTGTTCAATAAAAAAGTATCATCAGATTAATGTAAATAAATGTTGCGTTATGCAAATGTTATAAAATCTGACACAAAGTTTGAAAAAGTAAAAGATAAAACAGCCTAGTTTTCCTTGGATCCACCATCCAAAAAAACACGTCCGAAGGAATGTAAACGTAAAACCCACCTTTCAAAAAAGTAGGATAAGATAAAATCGTAAAAAAAAATTATTTCAAAATAAGATGGGGTACATATTTAGAAAAAGTCACCTTCCTAAGATTTTAATGATAACATATGTTGTCAAGGACACCTTTCTGAGTAACAATCAAAAAGTTTTAGCCGTCGCTTGTTGTTTCAAAAAAAGTTATAAACACTTGAAGTCTCAAAACTAAATTTTTATTTTTCGACAACGTGTACATTTTTTCATGTTGGAAGCGTGTAAGCAAGAGGTGGCTACGCCCCCCCCCCCCCCCGTAAGGTGAAGAAGCTCCGGCCCTCACCCTGCTCATCCCCCAAAAAAATATAGAAAACGACTTCCGTTTACATGCGACACTTACTCAGAAGTCGTTCTCTATATTTTCTCGAAAGGAGAGCAAAGAAGAGAAGCGGAACCACTCCCCCCTGCAGAGGGGTGTAGCCCCCTATGCTTACACGCTTCCAACATGAACAAAATGTACACGATGTCGAAAAATGAAAATTTAGTTTTGAAACTTCAAGTGTTTATAAATTTTTTTTAAACAACGAGCTACGGCTAAAACTTTTTGATTGTTACTCAGGAAGGTGTCCTTGACAACATATGTTAAGCTCATTAAAATCGGAGGGGTGATCTTTTCTAAATATTTACCTAACAGACTTTTAAGCCATCGATTGAAATTCTTATGTCATTATCACTTAGGTAACTAAATATTTGTTCAATACACTCACGTGGTAGCTGAGGAAAATTACAGAAAAAGTAGAAACTTTTAGTGCCTTGTTCGAGCAACTCTTTTCTTTCCATACCTTTTCTGAACTGATTTTTTATCATGCTAGAGTATATTGGAAATTTTATTTTATACTCGTCTGACCTTAAAACCTGCACTACATTTTCATTTCTCATATATATTGCTACTAGATTTGTATCTTTTATCAAGATATCGTAAAATGATATGTTAGTATTACTAATTTTCTCATTCTTCATGATTGCTACTTCTTTTTCACATTCATCCTGTAAATCTCTTAGTTCATAATTGCTGCTTATTGATAATAATTGTTCACTTATGGATAAATTTGCAGCTTTTATCTTAACTATATGCTGTGCAAGAAACTCAGCAATTTCTTTACAACAGATGCGACTAGAAAAGTCAGAATAATCGTTATATGATATAGCATTAATGTTAGCACTTCTGTCTAACAACATCGCAACAACTTCTACATTTTCTTTTTCAACAGCAAGACACAGTGGTGTACGACCTGGTGCAAAAAAAAGACATATATGTCGAATTAACATAAAACTCCATGGTTTAAAAGCTGCTTATAAATCTGTAAATATCTTTCCTCAGCTACAATTTAAAGTTATACCTGACTTATCACTGGCATTAACGTTAGCTCCATGATTTAAAAGTAATTCAGCAATCTCCATTAACTTATAGTCAACCGCAACGTGAAGCAGAGGTGTGCCATCCCGAGTTTTAGCATTAACGTTGGCACCTCTGACCAAAAGCATCTTAACAGCATCTACGTATCCTATGTTAACAGCCAGACACAGTGGTGTATCACCTGAAGCAAAAGAAATATATGTAGAATTAACTCTCCAATTAAATCCCATGTTTTCAAAAATGGTCATCAATCTGTAAATATCTTTCCTCAGCTGCAATATAAAGTTATACCTAGGATGTCAGTGGCATTATTGTCAGCTGCGTGATTTAAAAAAAATTCAGCAATTTCTATTTTCTTATGTCGAATCGCATGGTGAAGCGGAGTTGTGCCATACCGAGTTCCAACAACACAGTTAACGCCTTTGTCCATAAGCATCTGAACATCATTTAAACGTCCTCTCTCAATAGCAAGAGACAGTAGTGCAACACCTAGTGTAAAAGAATAGAGAAATGTAGAAGTAATATAACGTCCATGTTTTAAAAAATCATCATATCTCTGTAAATATCCTTTCTCATTTCCATAATAGAGTTATACCTGACTCATCTCTAGCATTAACATTAGCTCCATGATTTAAAAGTAATTCAGCAATCTCCATTTGCTCATATTCAATCGCATTGTGGAGCGGAGTTGTGCCATCTTCAGTTTCAGCAGTGACGTTAGCACCTCTGTCAATAAGCATCTTAACAAATTGTTTATGTCCTTTTGTAACAGCAAGATGTAGTGGTGTAACACCTAGTGTAAATGTATATATATATGTAAAATTAACATAAACTCCATGTTTTAAAAAATGTTCATCAATCTGTAAATATCCTTTCTCATNTNCATAATAGAGTTATACCTGACTCATCTNTAGCATTAACATTAGCTCCATNATTTAAAAGTAATTCAGCAATCTCCATTTGCTCATATTCAATCGCATCGTGAAGCGGAGTTGTGCAAAACCGAGTTTCAGCATTAACATTAGCACCTCTGTCTAAAAGCATCTTAACACTATCTACATCTCCTCTGTGAACAGCAAACCACAGTAATGTAGCATCTGAAAAAAATGTACATGTAGAATTAATGCCAAGTAAACTTCATGTTTTAAAACTTGTTCAGCAATCTGTGAATATTTTGTCTCAGCTGAAATATAAAAAGGAGGTATACCGTTATCGTTACTGTCATTAACGTTACAGGTGTTACCGGTAGCTCCATGATTTAATAGTATTTCAGCAATTTTTATTTCGTTATATTCAATAGCATTTGCAGGAAGCAAAGTTGTGCCATACCGAAATGTAGCATAATCGTTAGCATCTCTGTCCAAAACCGTGCTAACAAATTTTTCATGTCCTTTTTTAATAGCAAAGTGTAGTGGTGTAACACCTAGTGTAAAAGAATAAATATAAATAGAAGTAATATAAACTCCGTTTGTTTTAAGATGTTCATCAATCTGTAAATATCCTTTCTCAGCTGCAGAATAGAGTTATACCTAACATATCACAAGCATTAACGTTAGCTCCATGATTTAAAAGTAATTCAGCAATCTTTATTTTCTCAAATCTAACCGCATTGTGAAGCAGAGTTGAGCCATTCCGAGTTTCAGCATTAATGTTAGCATTTCTGTCCATGAGCATCTTAACAACATCTACATGTCCTGTTTGAACAGCAAGACTCAGCAAAGTTATGCCATCCTGAGTTTCAGCATTAACGTTAGCACCTCTGTCCATGAGCATCTTAACACCATCTTCATGTTCTTTTTGAACAGCAAGAAACAGTGGTGAAACCCCTGAAAAGGAAGAGATGTATGTAGACTTACGTCTCCAACTTAATGGTCAAAAAGATGTTCATCAATCTGTAAATATCTTTTCTCATCTGCAATATGAAAGTATACCGTGTCTATCACTGATATTAACATCAGCTCCATGATTTAAAAGTAATTCAGCAATTTCTGTTTGCTTATTTTCAATTGCATCGTAAAGCAAAGTTCTGCCATACCAATTTTCAGTATTAATGTTAACACCTTTGTCCATAAACATCTTAACACCATCTACATATCCTTTTTTAGCAGCGAGACACATCGGTGTTTCACCTGAAAATAAAGAGATATATCTAGAATTAACTCTCCAAGTAAACTCCATGTTCTAAAAGATGTTCATCAATCTGTAATTATCTTTTCTCAGCTGCAATATAAAGCCATACCTAACTTATCAGTAACATTAATAATAGCTCCATGATTTAAAAGCAATTTAGCGATTTCTATTTTATTATTTTCAATTGCTTTGTGAAGCGGAGTTCTGCCATTCCTAGTTGTAGCATTAACGTTAGCACGTCTGTCTAGAAGCATCTTAACAATTTCTATGTCACCATTTATAACAGCAAGATGAAGTGGAGTATCATGATATTCATCAGTGGTGCTGTTAACTTTAGAACCGTTTGTTAAAAGTAGTTTAATAACTTCTGTATGCCTTCTCTCAATAGCATCACAAAGTAAAACATATCCTTCTTTCCATGCTTGTGAATAAGATAGTCCAAAATAAGTAAGTATCTCCCTTGCTCTTTCTAGGTTTCCATCACGAACTGCATGTTGTAACGTGTAGCTTGTATCAATATAATTCATGGTAAAAATAGTGCTCAATTTGCATCTGTTTTTCTCTCAAATCTCTCTTCTATGTTGTTCCTCTGTTTAAGTTTTAGTTTTGGTTTTCCTATAATTATTTAAATGTGTACTCAGACTGGCGTGTGGACTAATCTTTACGGTCCAAGAGCCATACTTGCACCAAACCAAACCTTATTTATATGGGTGCGTTCACTTTGGGCGCTTACGCGCTTTGAGCGTCAGTCTATCTTTGTTCTATATTTAAACAACACTGGGTGCGTTCAGACAACTCAACAGTTGCACAACGGTTGAGAGATAATCACTTCTGATTGGATCATACTTTTGGAACCAAATCAGATTTTGAAGAATAGTCCTATCATAAGTGATGATCTCTCAACCGTTGAGTTGTCTGAACGCACCCAATAAAGACAGACTGACGCTTAAAGCGCGTAAGCGTTTAAAGTGAACGCACCCTATGTATTACAATCGTAAAATTTAAATTAGTCAGATACGTACCGGTTGCAGGATAAGTAGCAAGAAGAGAAAACGTAAGATCAGCGTTCTCCGTTTTGGCTCTCTTATGGCTTTCGCACATAAGGCCTATTGTATGCGGGCAATAACTGTTAACTTATGCCGGAACCGGTAGAGTTTAGCTATAGGATTCCAATACTTCTGTTTATACGCATTCGGCAATTTTGTATAAACAGAAGTATTAAAATCATATAGTTAAACTTTACCGGTTCCGGCATAAGTTAACAGTTATTGCTCGCATAAACCAGGCCTAAAACTTGAGACCATAAGACGTAGCCGTAAGAAAATTGACTAATCAGAATGTAATAATTGTAACCACAAACCGTATATTTCTGGAGTATGAGTGAGGAATAATCATATTCTTCAGTTTTCGCCATTTCCTTGCCACGCACGTGGTCATCGCAGTTTTACAAGTTTTACGGCCGTTTTGGCCTGGTTTATGCGGGCAATAATTGTTAACTTATGCCGGAACCGGTAGAGTTTAACTATAGGATTTCAATGCTTCTGTTTTATACAAAATTGCCGAAAGCGTATAAACAGAAGTATTGAAATCCTATAGTTAAACCAGAGAGAAGTCTGAGAGCGGTTATGCCATTGCAGTTGACGGTTTCAGCCGCTGGTGTGAGCCGTATTTCCACAAAAGTGGAACTCAAAGGCCGTTCTCCATGAAACTCAAGTAGCAGATCTCGTGGAACTGATCAATCACGTTGGTCGATTGGCTGATTTGACTCTGCAATTGGTCAATTCCACGAGATCTGATACTTGCGTTTAATGTAGAACGGCCTTTGAGTTCCACTTTTGTGGAAATACGGCCAAAACAGCGGCTGAAACCGTCAACTGCAATGGCATGGCCGCTCTCAGGCTTCTCTCTGATAGAGGTATTGAAATCCTATAGTTAAACTTTACCGGTTCCGGCATAAAAAATTAACAGTTAAATTGGATTGCATCAGCCGTATCGGTTGGATGTGCGTTGTTACGCTGTGAATATTTTTGGACAATTTTGTCGGTGTTTTACACCACTTTCTTTATTATCTTTAATCAAACAAATATACAACTTGGTGGCTTGGCGTCAGAAACCCAATTCACGGTTTTAAACCTGTTATCAAAAAGACTATGGACTAGCTTTATAGGTCCACTGAGCCAAAAGAGCACCAAAACCACCACCAACCAAAGTTAACAGTTATTGCCCGCATAAACCAGGTCAAAACGGCCGTAAAACTTGTAAAACGGCGATGACCACGTGCGTGGCAAGGAAACGGCGGGAAATAAAGAATGATTATTAATAAATTACTTTATTGTTTTACATACCTTTAACACCAACAACGCGTTACAAAAAGGTGCAAGAACAAGCGGGGTCGACGACTCCTAAACGCGCGAACGTTACAGGATTTTTTGTGTGAATAAGCCGTTGAGAGTCGCGATGATGACACGAACTCGCGCTAACCACTTCAGGAGCAGAACGGAAAGGAAACGGCGGGAAATGAAGAAAATATGATTATTAATAAATTACTTTATTGTTACATACCTTTAACACCAACAACGCGTTAGAAAAAGGAGCAAGAGCAAGCAGGCTCGACTCCTGAACGCACGAACGTTACGGGCCTTTTTGTGCGTTGTTCGCGATGACCAGGCCAAACTGCGTGCACCACCACTGATGCAAGATCGAGCAGAGAGCAACGGCAGCACCAAAGCGTTGGGGGCACGCACACAAGCGAGAACTGCCGTCCGTGTGCGCACACGGAGGGCAGTTCTCGCTTGTGTGCGTGTCCCCACCGCTTCGATCTCTCGTTGCTCTCTGCTCGACCTTGTAACTCTGTGCACCACAGCCGTTGCTAGTCGCGTATCTTCGCAATGAGAGGCACGAGGCCCGAGAAAGAGAGACGCACGAAGTTTAAATATGGGCATAAATAGTCGAGTCATTATGCGCAGGCGCGTCTACTAAGCGAGTGCGAGCGAGACAAAGCATTGGAAAGAACGCGAGAAAGAGAAATGCCCAAACGTGTTTGAATGTTCACCGCATGCGCGCAAAGCAGCTGGAGAGAAAGGCTACTATATTGTCTGCACCGTAACATGTGGCTTCAGGTCGGCACCGTACTAGCAATATAGGAGTATTACATATATGGTGCACCGGCGTTGTTTCTACTTGTAAATCTGGGAGTAATGTACCATCCCATTTATTCCCAAAAAATCGTGAACGTCGCAAGTTGTGGTTAGACAATTTACATATACAGCAAGTAGATGAACGTGAAATTCAAATGTGGCGAGTGTGCTACAAACATTTTTGTGACAACGATTTATAGTTGTGCCCAAACAAGACGTGTTTTAAAAAAACACTGCAATTCCGACATTACATATTCCATCGGATGAAACTACAGCAAACACAAAAACTGTTGAACACCAACAACTGAATCAGCAGCAAGAATTGACAAAACAAGGAATAATACTTCAACATCATGAAGAACAGATAGTACAGCAGACAGAGCGGCAACAAAAATTGGCAAAGCAAGAAATGATACTGCAACAGCATCAAGAACAGATGCAAAAGAATTTATTTTACAACGGTGCAAATTTATTAACAACATATTAACTGGTAAAATACAAAAAGAATGTTGGGACGCTAATGTTATATATACTCAAGCTAAAACAATGTCTCTGAAATATTCTAAGAACAAAAAATAAAATTTATATTTTATATAATATTTATAATGTGTACTGAAAAGTTCGATTTCTTCTATACCGTTTAATTAAAACTCGACCCGACTCCGATTATTATTTCAATTAATAATATTTTCTGTTCGATTCCGTATTCGATTGAAACGATTGATCAAACACGTAATTTCAAATTGAATATGGCGAACACGTGCCCCTGCGTGATCACTACGATTTCGACACGAACGCTCCGACAATTAATAGGAAATTGCAAATGATTGTAAACGCTCCGTATAATTAGAACACTGTATATATTTGAATAAAATATATAATGAACAAAATAAACGACTTTTATAATACAATAAATGAATCTTTGAATTGTACGTATTTTCCGACTTGACTCTCAGGCAACGATTCGACTGTTCTGTTCGCCTTCACAAAGGAGAATGCCCGGTTGCCTCGATCCAGGCGGATGTTCGATTTTGTAACGGACATTCTCGAACGGATTTTTAGGAGCACCGTTGTCGACGTGCTTCCGCTAATAGTACGGACAGCATCCACCAGGGCGCATGCACGGCCGGTACATCCAGTAACTGGCGCGCTCTCGCGGGTGCCGTCTTACAGTACGTTATGTATATTTATATATATTTTAATAAATTATGACAATAAAAAAAAACTTATCTATTGTTTTTTATTTAAAGCAAAAATAATAAAATAGTGTAATAACCTAACCTAGATACATATATGTGTGTGTGTGTGTGTAACACTGGACGCCATGTTGGAATTTAGTTCCATTTTACCAACGTCATATTTCAGAGAGCGCCACAAATGCTGATACCACCGGGTCCCATAGAATTTATATGGCAGTTTGGTGGCCCTGGTTCTATCTTTTTCTTTTTAATATGGATAAATAAAGATAAACTGTGAACTAGTGCAGCCAGTTCAGGGAAAAAAAACAAACCTATTATTTTGTTTGCATCAAATGAGATAGTCGCTCTCTGGCTTCTCTTCGCTTCTAACAATAGAAGCGTGGACTAAGCTATAAGGTCGAATTTCCATTGGTTAAATCCCGTTTTAAGGCCAGTATAAACTCATTTTAAATTTAACAAGCACCATTTTTTTAATTAAAAAACTAACTACTAATTTCCTATTTTTATACGTGTACTTATTTATATTTATTTTTTTCATAGAAGATTTTTTTATATAAATCGCTGATTTTAAACATACAATGAAGTTAAACATATCCATCGCACATAATTTTATTTTTTTAATTAATAAAAGCAATTACACGTATTACACTCTGTCTTCAATAAAAGAGTATCATCGGATTAATGTATATAAATTTTGCGTTATACAAATGTTATAAAATCTGACACAAAGTTTGAAAAAGGGGAAGATATAAAACAGTCTAGTTTTCCTTTGATAGACCATAAAAGAACACGTCCAAGAGAATGTAAACGTAAAAAATAACTTTCAAAAAAGTAGGGATAAGATAAAATCTTAAAAAAATAATAATTTTAAAATAAGATAGTAATCTGTATTTACAATACAACAATAATCTTTACGTTTGTACAGCTGTTATTTCACATGTTTAAATAATAGTTCATTTTTTCTTAACTTACACACATAGCACTTTACATGTATTTGAAGTAATTTATACATCATTAACGGCCTATTTCTTTATATCTCTCGATAGCTATCCTCTGGATAAATTCCTCTGAGAACTGAAAAGAAGAACTAATTTTGGGAGATATTTTCTAGATAAAGTTATCGAAAACTTATCTACAGCCAATGTTTTCACTTCTAGATAAGTTTTCGATAACTTTATCTAAAAGATATCTCCCAAAATTGGTTCTCCTTATTGGTTATCAGAAGAATTTATCCAGAGGATAGCTATCGAGAGGTACGAAGAAATCGGCCGCTAGAAGTGAAATAATTGGCTATAAGAGGATACTGGATACCGACTAAAGCGACCTGGAAACCGACGTTTTTATAACATAAAATTCTTTATTTTTCTAATTTTATTTACTGTATGACATTAAAAGCGAAAAAATTTGTGATGAATTTTGACATTCCAAAGCACAACAGCCATTTCTTAGCACAATTTAATTATTTCTAGAGAAGCATTTTGGATTTGATGCAGTAAATACGACACAGAATCTGATTAAAGAACGTCGGTTTACATAGTCGGTATCCAGTACTCTATTAATATCAGTTATTAAGATTACTGACACTAACAAATTTACAAGTATCTATTAATATTTTTATGTCATTATTACTTAAGAAACTAATTATTTTTTCAATACACTCAAGTGGTAGCACAGGAAAGTTACAGAAAAAATAAAAACTTATAGTGCCTTGTTCGAGCAACTCATTTCTTTCCATACCTTTTCTGAACTGATTTTTTATCATGCTAGAGTATATTGGAAATTTTATTTTATACTCGTCTGATCTTAAAACCTGCACTACATGTTCATTTCTCATGTATATTGCTACTCGATTTGTATCTTTTATCAAGATATTGTAAAATGATATAGTAGTATTACTAATTTTCTCATTCTTCATGATTGCTACTTCTGTTTCACATTCATCCTGTAAATCTCTTATTTCATAATTGCTGCACGTTGATAATAATTGTTCACTTACGAATAAATTTGCAGCTTTTATCTTAACTATATGCTGCGTAAGGAAATCAGCAATTTCTTCATAATACATGCGACAAGAAAAGTCAGAATAATCGTTATATGATATAGCATTAATATCCGCACCCCTGTCTACCAACATCGCAACAGCTTCTACATTTTCTTTTTCAACAGCAAGACACAGTGGTGTAACACCTGGTGCAAAAGAAAAGATATATGTCGAATTAATATAAAACTCCATGTTTTAAAAGATGTTTATGAATGTGAAAATATTTTCTCAGCTATAATTTAAAGTTATACCTGACTTATCACTGGCATTAACATGAGCACCATAATTTAACAGTAACTCGGCAATCTCCATTTCCTCATCTACATGTCCACTTTGAACAGCAACATGCAGTGGTGTAATACCTGGTGTAAATGTAAATATATATGTAGAATTAATATAAACTCCATGTTTAAAAAAATGTCCAAACACTTATTTATATATTTTCTCAGGTGCAATATAAAGTTATACCTGACTCATCACTGGCATTAACAATGGCTCCACGATTTAGAAGAACTTTAGCAATTTCTATTTCATTATTTAGAATAGCATTGTTTAACGGAGTTATTCTCTGTCGAGTTCCACCATTAATGTTGGCACCACTGTCCAACAGCACGTTAACACAATCTACATGTCCTTTTTTAATAGCAACAGATAGTGGTGTAACACCTAGAGTAAAGGAAGATATATATATAAATATATGTAGAATTAAACTCCTTGGTGTAAAAAATGTTCAACAATCTGTCAATATCCTTCCTCAGCTGCAATATAAAGAGAAGTTATACCGTAATCGTTACTAGCGGTAACGTTAGCTCCGTTATTTAAAAGTAATTCTGCAATCTCCATTTTCTCATATTCAATTGCAGTATGAAGAAAAGTAGTGCCATCTCGAGTTTCAGCGTTAACGTTAACACCACTGTCAAGAAACATCTGGACAAATTGTTTATGTCCATTTGCAACAGCAAGACACAGTGGTGTAACACCTGGTGTAAAGAAATAGATATATGTAGAATTAATATTCCCACCATGTTTTAAGAGATGTTCATCAATTTATAAATATCCTTTTTCAGCTGCACTATAAAGAGAATTAATACCTTCATCGTTACTAGCAGTAACGTTAGCTCCATGATCAGTTAAAAGTAATTCCGCTATCTCCATTTTCTCATATAGAACTGCATAGTGAAGCAACGTTGTGCCATCCGGAATTTCAGCATTGACATCGGCACCTCTGACCAAAAGCATCTTAACACCATCTACATATCCTGTTTTAACAGCGAGAAACAGTGGTGTTTCACCTGAAAAAAAGAGAAATATGTAGAATTAACTCTTCAATTAAATTCCATGTTTAAAAAAATGTTCATCAATCAGAAATATTTTTTCTCAGCTGGAATATAAAGTTATACCTGACTCATTACTGGAATTAACATTAGCTCCATGATTTAAAAGTAATTCAGCAATCTCCATTTGCTCATATTCAATCGCATTGTGGAGCGGAGTTGTGCCGTCTCGAGTTTCAGCATCGACGTAAGCACGTTTGTCAATAAGCATCTTAACAAATTGTTTATGTCCTTTTGTAACAGCAAAATGTAGTGGTGTAACACCTGGTGTAAATGTAGATATGTAGAATTAATATAAACTCCATGTTTTAAAAAATGTTTACAAATTTATAAGTATCTTTTCTCAGCTGCAATATAACGTTATACCTAAATTATCGGTGGCATTTACGTTAGCGCCGTGATGTAACAGTAAGTCTGCAATCTCCATTTCCTCATTTTCAATCGAATGGTGAAGCGGGGTTGAGCCATCCTGAGTTTTAGCATGACAGTTAGCGCCACTATCAAGAAACAACCTAACAAATTGTTTATGTCCTTTTGTAACAGCAAGATGTAGTGGTGTAACATCTGGAAATGTACATATATATGTAAAATTATCATAAACTCCATGTAGTAAAACATGTTCAAAAATTTATAGATATTATTTCTCAGCTGCAATAAAAAGTTATACCTGTCTGATCACTGGCAGTAACGTTTGCTCCATAATTTAAAAGTAACTGTGCAATTTCCAATTCCTCATATTCAACCGCGTCGTGTAGCGGAGTTGTGGCGTACCGAGTTTTAGCATCAACATTTGCACCACTGTCTAAAAGCATCTTAACAATATCTACATCTCCTCTGTGAACAGCAAACCACAGTAATGCAACATCTGAAAAGAAATAGATACATGTACAATTGATTCCACTTAAACTCCATGTTTTAAAAGATGTTCAGCAATCTGTAAATATCCTTTCTCAGCTGCAATATAAAAAGAAAGTATACCTTTATCGTTACTGGCGTTAATAGTAGCTCCATGATTTAAAAGGAGTTCACCAATTTCTAATTCCTTATATTCAGTAGCATTACGAAGCGAAGTTTTGCCATACCGAATATTAGCATTATCATTATAAAATCTGCGATAAAGCATCGCAAGAAATCTTTCATGTCCTTGTTTAACAGCAACGAGTAGTGGTGTAACACCTGGTGGAAAGGAATAGATATAAATAGAAGTAATATAAACTCCATGTTTTAAGATGTTCATCAATCTGTAAATCTTTTCTCAGCTGCAATATGAAGGTATACCGTATATATCACTGGCGTTGACGTTAGCTCCGTGACGTAAAAGTAACTCCGCAATTTCCATTTCCTCATATTTAATAGCGTAATGGAGCGGTGTTGTGCCTTCTCGAGTTTCAACAGTGACATCAGCACCTTTGTCGATAAGCATCTTAACACCATCTACATGTCTATTTTCAATAGCACGATACAGTGGTGTAACACCTGATGTAAATGTAGATATATATTTAGAAGTAATATATACTCCTTGTTTTAAAAAATGTTCACAAATTTATAAGTATCTTTTCGCAGCTGCAATATAAAGTTATACCGTCTGTATCACTGGCGTTAACGTTAGCACCGTGATGTATAAGTAATTCAGCACTTTCCGTCCCGACTGCAATCGCATCGTGAAGTGGAGTAGTGCCAGTTCGAGTTTCAGCAGTGACGATAGCACCTCTCTCAATAAGCATCTTAACACCATCTACACGTCCTCTTCGAGCAGCATAATACAGTGGTGTAATGCCTGGTGAAAATGTATATATATATATATATGTGGAATTAATATAAACTCCATGTTTTAAAAAATGTTAATCAATCTGTAAATATCCTTTCTCAGCTGCAATATAAAGGTATACCGTAAGAACAACGGGCATTAACGTTAGCGCCATGATGTAATAATATTTCAGCAATCTCCAAATCCTCATATTCAATCGCATCATAAAGAGGAGTTGTGCCATACCGAGTTTCAGCATTAACATTTGCACCTCCGTTTATAAGCATCTTAACTCTATTTACATGTTTTTCTACAACAGCATAATACAGTGGTGTATCACCTGAAAAAGAAGAAATATATGTAGAATTTATTCTCCAATTAAACTCCATGGTTTAAAAGATGTTCATCAATCTGTAAATATCTTTTCTCAGTTGCAATATAAAGGTATACCGTAGTTATCATAGGCATTAACGTCAGCTCCACGATTTAAAAGTACTTCTACAATCTCAATTTTCGCATATTTAGCCGCTTCGTGAATTGGAGTTGTTCCATCTGGAGTCTCAGCATTCACGTTAGCACCTCGGTTAATAAGCATGGTAACACCATCTACATGTCCGTTTAGAACAGCAAAAAACAGTGGTGTAAAATCTGAAAAGGAAAAGATGTGTATGTAGAATTACTTCTCCAATTAAACTTAATGGTCAAAAAGATGTTCATCTTTCAATCTGTAAATATCTTTTCTCAGCTGCAATATGAAGGTATACCGTCTATATCACGGGCATCGACGTTAGCTCCATAATTTAAAAGTAAATCGGCAATCTCTATTTCGCCACATTCCATCGCATCGTGTAGCAAAGTTCTGCCACACCAATTTTCAATATTAACATCAAAAACTCGGTCCATAAACATCTTAAAACCATCTACAAATCCTGTGTGAACAGCGAGACGCAGCGGTGTTATATCTGTGAAAAGGAAGAGATATATGTAGAATTAACTCTCCAAGTAAATTCCATGTTCTAAAAGATATTCATCAATCTGTAAATATCTTTTCTCAGCTGCAATATAAAAAAAAAAAGCCATACCTAACTCATCACTAGCATGAATACTAGCTCCATGATTTAAAAGCAAGTTAGCAATTTCTATGTTCTTATTTGCAATTGCATTGTGTAGTGGTGTTGTGCAATACCTATTTGAAGAATTAACGGCAGCATGTCTGTCTAGAAGCATCTTAACAATTTCTATGTCATCATTTATAACAGCAAGATGAAGTGGAGTATCATAATCGTCATTATCAAATTTGGCAGTGTTGCTGTTAACGTTAGAACCGTTTGTTAAAAGTAGTTTAACAATTTCAGTATGCTTATTCTCAATAGCATCACAAAGTAAAACATATCCTCCTTTCCATGCTTGTGAATAAGATAGTCCAAAATAAGTCAGTATCTCCCTAGCTCTTTCTAGGTTCCCTTCACGAACTGCATTTATTAACGTGTAGCTTGGATCAATATAGTCCATGGTAAAAGTAGTGCTCAATTTGCATCCGTTTTTCTCTCAAATCTGTCTTCTATGTTGTTTCTCCGTTTAAGTTTTAGTTTTGGTTTTCCTGTAAGTATTTATATGTATTACAATAGTAAAATTTAAATTAGTCAGGTACGTACCGAGAGCGAGATAAGTAGCAAGAAGAGAGAAAACGTAAGAGCCAAGGTCTGTAGAATAGACAGGTTGCCTGGTAACTCTCGATCAATCAGAAAATGCCAAAGTGATGTCATTCAGCATGCCCGTTTAAATTAATACGAGTTACATGGTTCGTATATTATATGAA